AACTAAGGAAGAACAAATTATGTTGGTTTTCTTTAAAACGTGGACCAGACTGAAGCCTTCAATATCCCAAGTGCCCAGTTCACGCTCCCTAGAAGCCCAAATGAGTGAGATAATTTGGACAACATGATAAGACAGGATTCATTAGAAAAGATAGCTCGAATCCTGTATGGGATTTACATATACAGTCTCCCCTTCATTCTCGCGGGCTGGAGGTCTGCGGTTTTGAATATTCACGGAGGGATGATTTCCGTTAAAATCAATGGGGTGCGCCCCTGTGGGCACACCCCATTCAAGCCTATGGCAATTCTCCATTTTCATGGGGGGGGGGGTGATGGTTCTGGAGTGGATCCTGCACGAAAACGGAGGGCTGACTGTATATATGGTGAATCCCAGCCCAACCCCCCCCCATCCCCATTTACTGTGAAGCAGATGGTGCAATTGATGTGGGGTCAGTTCCCTTGCACTGAAACAGAAAGCAGTCTCCATTGTGACAGGCAGAAGCAGTGTCCCTGAAGCAATTCTCCCTTGCACTGGAGATTGTTCATGCAAAGGGGTTGTGCAAGCCTGCTGCTTCCCAAGCTACAGGGAAGCAGATCCCTGTCGATTGTAGCAGCTGCTTCCCACTAGGACTAGGGAACTTTCATGGTCTCTACATAGCCCCTAAACTAGTTTACAATAAGGTTTCTCCTGGATTATTCCAATATATAATCACATATTTATTCCTGAGTGTTCAGTTTCTTATACTTTGCCATCTTCTTCACATGGCAATTGATTTATCTGAAATAAATCAGGGAAAACCCCCAAAGTGATCACATTGGGGCTTTGTTTAATAATAATAATAATAATAATTGTGTTTGCATGTCCACAACAATCAGAACGAAAGCAACACAGGAAAAAAGAGCAGGCTAAATGGACATCTGCTGTTGGATTGTTCAGTTCTTGGTAATATGTTGACAGAGAGGCTTTCTGCCTCCACATGTTTACTAACTAGATCATTTAGGCATTTTTTTAATGGTTTGAGAGTGTGCAATGGTTTGAGTGTGTATAAATTCATGCTACTATGGGCAGCCACAGAGCTGAAAATAAGTTCTGTAATATCTGCATGCTCATGTTGGTGCGGATTTCAATTTATACCCACCTTCTTTGTAAGAGCCCAAAGCAATTAGAAATCTATGTAAAAGCACAAATTGAACACTACAAATCATGGAATACATAAAATAGGAGTGGGCAAAGTTCAGCCATTCAGATGTTGTTGGACCCAACACCCTTCACCATTAGCTGTGCTGGCTAGAAATGATTGGAATTCCTTCCAACATCCTTTTGAGGCTCACACTTAGGTCCTAAACACACTGCAGAAATAATCTAGTTTGAGACCTCTTTAACTGCCTTGGCTCAATGCTAGCGAATCCTGGGAATTGTAGTTTTATTGTGGCACCAGAGCTCTGTGAGAGAGAAGGCTAAATGTTTCACAAAACTCCAGTTCCCAGAATTCCCTAGCACTGAGCCAGGACAGTTAAAAGCAGTCTCAAACTGGATTATTTCTGCAGTGTGTTTTGAACCATAGTCCCTAAATCATAATTTACAATTATTTAAAATAGTACATTACAAATGCCTACTATGATAATGAAATACAATAAAGGCAACACAAACCAACAGAGGTATAAGACATGTCAGACATTTGGTTATTTCCTGAACACTAGTACAAAATAGGTTTTTACCAGGTGCCAGAAAAACAAGAACACCAGGAACAGTCTGATCTCTAAGGGAAGATGTTGTTAAGTTGTGGGGGAGCAGGTTCTCCCCAGTTGATATTTCAGATAAAATGCTCATCATGTGAAATATAAGAAAATCACTTGATTTTCTGTAGTTTCTGTAGTTGTTATCAGGGCTAGCTCAAGATGTTTTACTGCTTGAGGCAAAGGTCAAAATAGCACCTTCCCATTTCCATTCCCATGTATAGAAGCTGATACATGCAACTGAATCTTATATCAATGCAGGCTGCTCCTACTGCACTTGATCATGCCCAAGGGACAGAAGGGCAGGCTGTTTTGGGGATCCATAAAGCTCTGTCCTCCAGTACCTCGATACTCTTCAGGATGTACCACATTGAGACACTCCCTCACTGCTTAATGGCAAAAGGTAGACACTGGCACTGGCTTGGGGAATATACTTGTGAATGCCAGATGCCAAAGCAAGCCACCAGTGGAGGGCTATTTGGTT